TTAATTATCTCTGACTTGTTCTTGACTTGTTCTTAATTATCTCTGACTTGTTCTTGGCTTGTTCTTAATTACCTCTGATTGGTCTTGGCTGTTTGTCTTTCCTTTCTGCCAGGGTGGAAAGCGTCTCTGGGGAACATTTTTTCGTGTTGGTTTCTACGGCTCTAAATTTGGTGACGTGGATGGAGAGGAATTCATTTACAAGGAACCGGCAATCACTAAATTGCCTGAGATAGCTCATCGACTGGAGGTAAATCTTACATATTCAGCTGGTTGAGAAAATGACCTTTGAACTCTGAATAAGTGTCTGTATATGGTAAAAATAGTGTCTGCATTGACTGATTTACATGTAGAGATGAAAGTGTAATAACATTAAATTTGAATTACCCTCTTTTCATGCTGAATATTCCAGATAGACTACAGTTGATTGGACCAATCGTCTTACAAAAAGATGCCACTGTAAGAAGGCTGTTGATTTTGTTTGCTGTAAAGTCTCTACAAAACAATCGTCTGTTTTCACTTCCATTACAGAGTTTCTATGGTGATCGTTTTGGTGCTGAAAACGTAGAAGTGATCAAGGATTCCAATCCTGTTGACCAGACCAAGCAAGATCCAGAGAAAGCTTACATTCAGGTCACCTACGTGGAGCCATACTTTGACTTCTATGAAACATTGCAACGACCAACGTTCTTTGACCGCAACTACAACATCAGTATGTATTGAACCGTTCCTTGAACACTTGAACAGATATTCACAGTGCATATTACAAGTCTCTCTTTTTGGTCCAACATGCCAACAACACCAATTTGTTATAATTGCAGTGAAGTGTAAATCTCCTTTTTCCCAACATGATGGGTAAAAAGATATGTTTAGAAAGTTTTGGCTTATAGGCCACCGTCATTTTTACTTATTTCTTGTGGAAATTTCAAGTGGAGACCAAGATATTGACTACAGCTGTAATTTTCCCAGTGTCCCACAGTTCGTACTACTAGATAAATGCCCTTATTTGTCCATGATTTCCCCCACCCCCAGGGAGGTTTATGTTTGCTACACCTTTCACCAAGTCAGGTAAGGCTCATGGTGACATCCGTGAGCAATACAAGAGGAAGACAGTTTTGACAACAGCCAAGGCTTTCCCTTACATCAAGACCAGAGTGGCTGTGGTCCACAGGCAGGAGGTAAAAATGGATTACAAACTTAGCTTATTCATCATTGTAATGTAATTGTAGAAAAATTGTTAGACTAAAAATGCACATCAGTTGAATTTGTCTTGGATGAGTAAAGTTGAAAGGCACCACTGACATTAATGCTTGTAAAAGTCTGAAAAAAACTGTTAGAGAGATGTTCCAAGCTCTACATCTGGTTTATGTGGCCTCTTTTATGCACCTGTGGGGGAAACCATCAAGTGGGTGATGGTTGAATGAATTTGTGATCGTTTAACATTTCCTTGCAGATTGTCTTGTCCCCTGTTGAAGTGGGTATTGAAGACCTTCAGAAGAAGACTAAGGAACTAACAGTAGCCACACATCAAGAACCTCCTGATGCTAAGATGCTACAAATGGTGTTACAAGGATGTATTGGGACAACAGTGAACCAGGTGAGAGGAGATGGATACTGTCTTAAGAAAAATTGCTGATATTTGAATATGAAAAAAGATGAACATATGCTGTAGAGCTGTCTGCTGCGAAGGGACTGGAATGAAAACATTTATAGAGGGAGAGTGATGTTGAAGATGAGGATTTGTGAGATGACATGGGAAAAAAACGGTATTAATGGTGACAAAGATCATGGAAAAGATTACAAGAAGGATGTTAGATAATTGGTACTTCTTATTGCAGGGTCCTATGGAGGTAGCATTGGCATTCCTTAGTGATAACACAGATGGCAAACAGCTAGACAAGCACACCAACAAACTCAGATTGTGCTTCAAGGAGTTCTCCAAGAAGTGAGTGCTAATTTGTAGTTCAACCTAAATATAAACATGCTAGCTATGTTGTAACATTTATTTAGCTCAAATGTTTGCCTAAATCTTGGAGAAATTTGTCTTCCAAAATTGGCAAATTCGGCAAAAGCACTTGATTAATTCAGTTGATCTCAAGACCAGGCAAAAAAGATCAGTCATCCTAAATGTTCTCTGTTTTTTCTGCAGGTGTGGAGATGCCCTCCGCAAAAACAAGAATCTGATTGCTCTAGACCAACGAGAATATCAGAAAGAGTTGGAACGGAATTACCACCGCTTCACTGACCGCTTGATGCCGCTTATCTCTAACCCAGGCCGGGTAGGTGGAGGAACGTTGCGTAAGAGTGGTAGGAAAGATCGACGAAGTAAAGGCTCCATGACCAAGATCATTAAAACGAGTGAGACGCTGTAAAGAGGGTTAGGGCTACAGTTTGGAGATGTGTAACATTCGACATGGAGTATATCTCTGGTCTGCATGAAGTTAAGGGTTGGAGAATATCAGGACTCAAGATATAAGTCAAGGCTTCTTGCTATAGTGTCTGTCTATATGTGGCAGGTAGCTGGGAGGAAATACTTGGATTTGAATTGATGAAAACTTGACATGCAAAAAGTTAGGAAATCTGCAAAAAACTTTGAAAGCTATTAAATTTCTTGACCAAACAGTAACATGCTTTGTATTTAATTGAGAAAACCCTGTATTTAAACCCTTAGCACTATTTTAATTTTTGTATATAACTCAGTTTGAACATAGAGATTCCCACCTTGTTATCCATTTTTTTTTCCTGCATGAAACAATGTATCAATTTGCATTTTTTTAGAGATTTTTTTATTGTAAGCAAACTCAGTCTGACATCTATCAATGCCAAAGTGCAGGCAATCTACAGATCGTTATGTATGTCACACATTTGAATTGCTGGTAAGTTTCTCTTTCAGTAAAGGCTTTTTAAATGTTTACGATGCATTGTTTTTCTGTGATCTGTTTAGTTTCACAAAGGTCTACCACTGTTATTAATTGACTGTATTTCACTTTCATATTAACTTTTGTTTGATTGACAGAAACAAATTGTTCCCTAATACAACAATTTACTTGAAGGGTAATGAGAGGAAATGGGTGTGCAGTGTTCATTGGGTTACATTTTTTACCCGCTGGTAAAATCTTGTGGTGGATTTGTTGAGTAGCAAAATTTTCAAACAACTGCCCGGTGCTGAATTGGTTCTTAACAAGGCAACAGTTTACAGGCAGAAGTAATGAGAAATATCAATTATGATTAGATTCATCAGATTAAGCTGGGAAAGCAAAATGTTGATCTACATGAAAAAAGCACCCTTAAATACTGACTTCATTTTGATTTTATCCTTGGCCCATCCCTGATCACATTGTGGTTTTTAGGTTTTTTGGTGTTTAGTGCAATAGTGTGAGTACACGTATCCCTGTATTTATCTTGCAAAATATGAATGGTAAGTCACTGCAACCATACACTTAAAACAAGTTGAATTTTTCCAGTAAGTTACACATCTCTCATACAGCGTCTTTAATAACTTCCATTTTAATAAAAGTTCTTTAGTGCGTGCACACTGTGCTTTTATTAAGTCGCTGTATTTCCATTTAATGTTACCCATTTATTCTTACGTTATACAGTAAGTATTCCATTGACAGCATTATACATGTAAACTACAAATCTTTGTTTAATGTACTCTACTGATGCATGTATGGTATACATAAACAGGTTGTTTAAGATGAGGCTAGGCACATTTAGCAGAAGTTTCTTGAAGTCTTACAAGAATGGAACAAACTTCTTTGGAGATGTTACCATTCAGCATGAGTTTGAGATCCAAATTTGTATGACGGTTTTTGCAGTCTTAATTGAAGTACATGAAGAATTGTGTTGTAAGGATAAGCAGGGCAGAAAATTAGAATCTAATTAGAATCTAGTTTTCCTTTTGTAATATTATTGTCGTCGAAATTGCCAGATTTGTGAATGAAAAAGAAATAGTTTAAAAGAGTACAGTATTCTCTGTTTCAAATGGAGTTCATATATCCTGTTTATGCGGTAGAAATGGTTTGCTACATTCATTCTTTAATTAATTCTAACCCCCTATGGGGTAGGTAAAATCATATTGAAATCGGGGGATTTGTGACTGTTCCGGTTCTAATACATTCATGTTTCCTACATTTTTTAAAAACACTTTATCTTAAGAAGGAAATTTAGTGCAAGTGGAAGTATATACTTTAAAGCAAAAAAACAGACACGTGTGAAATGCATCCAATTTGATGGCCACGGCAGTATTCATAAAAATCATTACAAATTTTAATTTTGTAGAAAACCTAAAAATCTTAATTCTTTTAATTTCAGTCAAAATGGCCCAGCTAATTCTAATCAAATGAAACCTAAAAATGTTCATGTTTGCGTATGTTCATTAAAATGGCAAGGCTAACCCCTTGAAAATAGTAACTTCTGGAAATCATGAAATCCTGATTTTGGCTCATTTTTAAAAGCTTACCCTCCCAAGTTTAATTTCTGACGACACTGAAAATCCCAATGTTGGGTCATTTTAATAAATGGCCAACCCTTTCCAATTTTAATTTTACATTGAATCTGAAAAATCCCGATTGTGGCACATTTTAACAAAAAAGGAAGGCTAACTCCTTTGGAAAATTAACATCTGATGAAAATCTGAAAAAATCCTTATTTTTTAGCACAGTTTTGTTTAAAACAGCAAGGCTAAACCCTTGGAAATTATTTGTAGTTTGACAGAAAATTGGGAAAACCCCGATTTTGGCTTATTTTAGTAACTTTGAAGTCACGCGGCTGCGCTTCCGTGAAATTATTACACCCACGATGGTTTCAGCAGGATGTCAGGTATCTTAAGTCCAAAGAGGCATTCCTTTCTCATCGTGTCCCTGTATGGTCTTCAGCTCATTGACAGAAGGCCTTGCTGTCAATTTATTTTGAAAGTTTGATCGTCTCCAGAGGTTTTGTGCTGTTTCTTTTGATTTTACCCCCAGGATGGTTTCAGGTATCTGGGTCCATGTGTTCTAGTTTTATTCTTCTCATTTGATTTTGAGTTTATTTGGACGTTGTGTTTATAACTTGGACCCCGATATTGCCAAAGCTGAAGCACGGAGGACTAAAAAATCCTCCACGGTTGATAAAGGGTGCGGTGTCCACTGCTCGGGCTTCATTAAAGACCGGAAACAACGAGAAAATGGAGGTTCTTTGATAGAGTGGTGAATCAAAGAATCTCCACCTTTTGAGTGTTTTACTTAATCAAACCACGTCCTCCCCATACTATTGTACCAGAGGACAAGTTTTTACGAATGCTTCGCACCGTGAGATGAATCCAATCCATTGTCCAGAGTTGGCTAGCTATGTACATCTGCATCTGCGTGTACCTAAATGCTGTCCACCTGGTCCAAGCCATTTCTTCGGTTGGGTGCACAAAGGTTTTTTTTCTTTATTCACGTACAGAGTGCACGCTGCACTTCACTGCACCAGTCTGTGGACTGTGTGTGCAGTCTTCATTACCGAGTTACCTGCGTGAACTATGCTAAATCCAAGTTAGCAAATGCTATCGATATAACTGTACGGAGTTTGGGACTTTTACACAACCAACAAGCAAGTTTGTCGAGCGGCTTATTTGGGAAACACGGTTCACTTGGCTCTTCAAACGAAGACCACGTTGACAACCTTGGAACGACTTGCTTATTCATCCAGAGCCCTTGGTCACCGTAGGAAATAATTTCGTCTGCATGGGAAGTACTGTATTGGTAAGTTTCTAAACGATTAATATTTTCTGTAAAATTATAAATAATTAATTATAGTTATAAAGAGACCTAATTCAGTTGGTGTGATGTGTCCTCTGGATGCTTTGCTGACTATATCATACAGATACAGATCTGGAGTCCCTCTGCAAAGCTATTTTTAGACAGCGTTCAATTAGTAATAATCTGTAACCGCTACTGAACATAATTATACGAACATCACTAATTTTCCTAGCAGTAGTTTATTAGCCATTAGAAAACAACATGTCCGAAAAGTCAAGCTTAGCGGTGAAAATATTAAAAAGCATTTATTTAAAAGCCTCGTGCCAAATGATATCCGGATATATAACTCTTTCGTAGAAAACATAAGCACGGCAAATCGAAAAATTCAAAGAAAACATAAACCCGTTGAATGTTTAAACAGCTGTACTTACTACTGCTGTTAATTGGGGCGTTTCTCATTGTGCTTGACATTAACACAACGTACAGGTAACTGTACATTCTTAAATAAAACGTCACAAGAGTGGTTTTAAGGAGGGTAAGAAGACCGTATACAGGAAGCCTAACTCTGCGGTACCAGAGAGGTCTCCAAAGGTGCACCGCACATACAGCAAGGTATGAGACGGAGAGAACCCCCCTGCTTTGTGTTGGTCATTGTCTCGCAGGAATCTGGGGAATTCCTTTCAGACATCTTGGGGGATGTGTTAAGTAACAATAGTCT